TGAGTTTTTTTAAGGTGTTTATTTTTGCCAAATTTGGTAAAAGGGATCAGCAGGAAGAGTTTTGATTGTTAATGCATTACTAGTGTTATTATTTAGTTTTTTGTCATTATTAATATTGTTGTTAGAGTTATTAGTTAGTTTTTTGTCATTGTTTGTGTCATTACTAGTATTGTTAGTCAGTTTTTGTTGTTTTTAGTATAGTCACTGATGTTATTAGTTAGCTCTTTGGTATATATTTAGTTATTAATGTCTTTAATAGGCTTTTTCTTTATTTTATTTGTTCTTTGTACAATTTTTGTACTTTTTTTCTTTCAGATGCTTTTTATTATTGGTATTATCATTAATGTCATTACTGGTATTATTAGTTAGTTCTTTGATGTATATCTGTTAACATCTTTAGTTTAGTAAGTTTTTTTTTTATTTCATTTGTTCTTGGTACTAACTTTTATATTTTTTCTCTTTCAGGTACTTTCTGTTGTTGGTGTTATTAGTGATGTTATTAGTTAGTTCTTTGGTACATATTTAGTTATTAATGTCTTTAGTAGACTTTTCTTTTGTTCTATTTGTTCTTGATTACTTTTTTTCTTTCAGATACTTCTTATTATTAGTATTATTGTTGATATCATTAGTTAGTTCTTTAGTGTATATTTAGTTATTGACATTTTAAGTTTAATAAGATAGGTTCTAATTCATTTTTCAACTAAAGTGAATAAGTAAATAGGTTTTTTTATATATAGATGTTTGTTATACAATAATGTAAATCTATTAAATTATAGTTTAGTATTTGTTTATTATGTAAAAAAATTTTTTTTAATAAATAAAGTTTTTTATTATATAAATTATTTTTTAAAGAAAAAATATATTTATTATTATAATCTTAAAGATTTTTTTTTTAAAAAAAATCTGTTAAAGTTTGGTAAACAAATTTAGTACAGTTCCTATATAATATATATTTTAAAATTTTTATAAACTTTAATTGAAAATATCTCAACAACTAATTGATTAAATTTGATAAATTTTTTTTATTTAAATTCTACATTTCTGTAGAATTTGAATAAAAAAATTTTTATTAATTTGATCAATTGGTTATTAAGATATTTTCAATCAAAGTTTGGTAAACGATTTTGATATAATTTCTATATAATATATGTTTTAAAAAATTTTTACCAAACTTTGATTAAAAATATCTTGCAATCAATTGATTAATTTAATAAAAATTTTTTTGTTTAAATTCTACAGTTCTGTAGAATTTAAATAAAAAAATTTTTATTAAATTTGATTAATTGATTGCAAGATATTTTTAATCAAAATTTGGTAAACAATTTTGGCACAGTTTTTGTATAACATACATTTTAAAAAATTTTTATCAAACTTTAATTGAAAATATTCTGGCAATCAATCAATCAATTTTAATAAATTTTTTTTATTCAAATTCTAAAGAACTATAGAATTCAAATAAAAAATTTTCATTAAATTTGATTAATTAGTTGTTGAGATATCTTTAATCAAAGTTTGATAAATAATTTTAGTATAATTTTTGTATAATATATATTTTAAAATTTTTACCAAACTTTGATCAAAGATATTTCAATAACTAATTGATCAAATTTATTGAATTTGATTGATTAGTTATCGAGATATCTTTGATTAAAGTTTAGTAAACAATTTTAGTACAGTTTTTGTATAATTTATGTTTTAAAATTTTTACTAGACTTTGATTAAAAATATCTTGGCAATCAATTGATTAAATTTAATGAACATTTTTTTATTTGAATTCTACAGTTTTGTAAAATTTATATAAAAAAATTTGATTGATTGGGTGTCAAGATATCTTTGATCAAATTTGGTAAACAATTTTAGTACTGTTTTTGTATAAATTATGTTCTTGATTTTAATTAGTTGATCATGAATTGCTATAAAATAATGATTAATAAATATAATATACATAAATATATATAATTATTAATTTTAAAATTTTGTTAAAAAACTAGTATTATTATAGTTATTAATATAAAATTAATAATACTGAATATATTTAATATATATTAAGTGATAAATCACAGTTAAAGAGTATAAATTTCATAATAAAAATTAGTGAAAAATTACTATTATTTTTATATAATATTGAAATATTAAAAGTTTGACATTATATAAAAATAAATCTAGGTGAGCCTTGGCCACTCTTGTAGGTTTAGGTCGCAGATTATATGTCTGAGTCTTTATTCTTCATATGTAATTTAAAAGCAAGCTTTTCTTTGTAAAAACTTTAATTGAATTTCAATAAAGTTAAAGGCATGGCCTCACTGTTAATATTTAAAAAAAAAAAAACATTATATAAAAATTATATAGTTATAAAAGAGAACATATCAATAGCTTACAATCTACTAAACCAATTTGAATAATTCTATTACTATTAGAACCAAAATGACTTGTTATATAATTTTTATTAAAATCTCAAGAAAGGTTTACTTAGTATAAAATTTTTTTTCATTATAAGCTAGTTGTATTTCAATTTTATAGAAAATCTATATTAATTTCTGGTAATTTTTATTATTAAATTCACTATTTTTATACTCTTAAATTTCTTAATATTTTACTAAATCATTTTTTATAATAGATATATACTATATATTAATATAATCCAACAGAAAGATTATTATTAATATATATCTGTTATAGTTAATAATTAATATATATTAACTTTTTTTTAGTAATATAAGATAATCTTTTTTAAATATTTTTATATTTTAACTTTAAATATTTTAAAATTTATTAAATTAATTTTAATAATTTAACTATTAATAGAATTAAATTTTTTTTTATAATTTTAATTAAAATTTAAAAAATTTTTATTTAATAAAATCTTTTATATTCTTTAAAAAATCATCAAATTATTACTTGAAGTAATTTAAATTTTTAACTTAAAGAATATTTAAACAATTTTAAATCAAGATCTTTCTTAATTACTTAAAATTAAGATTTGTAATTTTAAGCAAAAAATTATAAAATATTAAAAAATATATGTTTAAAGTTTAAAGATATATTTCATATTTATTTTCTTAAAAAAATTAAAGAATTATATTTTTTTTATAAATTTTATATATAAAATTGTAATATATCATTTCATGTTTTGACTATGTATTATTGTATTGTAAAAATAAACATCTGGAGGTGAGTCAATAGAAACGCACCAAATTTTTTCTAAGTAAATTTTTTTGAAACTTTAAGCTTAAATAACTTAGCAAGTACTTAACCATATTTAATAAAAATTTTTTTAAATTAATTCTAAATTCTTATAGAATTTGTTTAAAAAAATTTTTATTAAATTTGAATAATTTCTTGTCAAGTTATCTTTGTTTAAAGTTGCAAAAATATTTCACTAAAAAAGATTTGGTGCGTTTCTATTGACTCACCCTCATCTTTTTACTAATTTAACTAAATATTCAATCTCAAAATTACAAACTTTTGAAGATTACTATACGATTATCTATTGTGAAAATTTTTTCTTTGTACACGTCTCATTATTATTTTCTTTGCTTTGCTAGCGGATTATGTAACGTGATTGCGTTGCATGAATTGCGTGATCGTAGATAACATGAAAAAAAGTTTAATATATACGTACGTACGTGTGTACGTAAATTAAAATACACTTTCTTTCGTAATACCTTCCATTAATGATAGTAAATTATTACGTAATTACAAAATGATTTTCTTAGTTACTTTATTACATATATTGTATGAATTTCTAGCTTATTTGAACCTAATAGAAAAAACCATATAAAGGGTCAATAGAGATAGATCTTTTTTGAACTTTTAGTAGTACTTTCGATAGTTTTTCTCTTGTACCTTTTGATATATTTCATTATATTCTCTGTCGCTTAATACATTTGTAAACAAAATCCAACAACTTGTAACAGTGTATTGATTCGAGTCATAAAGTCACTCCCAGGTCACAACACTATTCACAAGTTTGTATTTATACTATCATATTATTTTTTTTCACGCTTATTGTCCGGATCTCAGTTTCGAACTGAATCTTCTTTTTTATTTTTCGATAATATCGGATCGAATGATTATCGCTTTCAACCGGTTCATCCAATTTCAGATTATACGGATGATCCAGGTGACGATTTTGCGTCCGGTTCGGAACTCTATTAAAAAGCGATCTTTCGAAAAATAAAAATCAGTTTGAATGGATATATTTCATCTGATCAAAGGCAAGCAACGTCAAAGGTGAATATAAGAAAGTTATAATAAAGATGTTAGAAAAAATAAACACCCTGCAGGTAAATAAATCTTAAAATTTTGAGAATTCGTCAATATTTAAATCGAATTGCTTTTTTTCTTTTATTATTTGAATTTTGAGAATTTGGATGATGAAAATAATTAATATGATTTTCTAAAGTTAATTCGGACCGATATTTCCTTCAAGGAAATTGTTCCTCTATAATTTACATTGATTGATGCTTCTATATTCTTTAAAGATCATTCTATTGATTTGGTTTATTTTTAAATGTTTTTTAAATTTTTTTTTTTTTTACAAAAAAAAAAACTTGAGCTTTTGAAAATCAATGTTTTTAACTCTTTTCCAGGGATAAACAAGTCGTGCATTTTTAAATTTAATGCATAGCATTTTTAATGCGCAGGCTCATCCTTATCGCTATGTTAATTATGTGCTGTAATTATATCATTGTGTTGTAATTCAAGGTTAATTTTTTGAACTTTCTTGTTGAGTCCGGGTATTTCATCAATATGATGAGATTAGATAAACATGTATGCGTGTGATGAGCATCAATAATGTGAGGAAAGGTTAGACAATAGCACAGACATCGTGGTATAATCACGTGAAGACGTTAATCGTGACGAAATGTTTCCTTTTGTAATAGTTTAATATGCAGATTCGGCAGGTTACTGCATAATCATTATTGTCAATTTTATATAATGAAAAATACCTAATATTTAGATATTGTTTTCGTACTGTTTCTTATTTTTAAATAATGATGTCCGTTAAAAGTCTTCGAAATCCTCCTCACTCACTAATGTTAACATCAGATTGTATTGCTGATATTCTATTTCAACTGAAAAATGATCGCGCAACACTATACTCTTGTCTCCTTACCAATCGACTATTTTGTCGACTTGTGGTCCCACTATTATGGAGTAGGCCATTCGAGCATATAATTTCTGGAAAGAAAGCTGCAACCAGCATAATCCATTCATATCTATCCTGTTTGACACTTGATGAAAAACAGATGTTATCTAAAAAATTGAAACACTGGTTTCCTCCTTTACCTACTCCATTATTCGATTATCCTAAATATCTTCGAGCGTTTGATTCGAGAAATTTCCGACAAACCGTTCAAAAATGGTGGTCTGTTCCTTTTGATAATGTTCAAAGTCTCAAAAGAGTGATAGATGGTATCGAATTGTTTAGCAATGTGCTGTTAAATCATATTCACAGCTTGGAATTATTGAAGTTAGAACAAGAGTACAATAATTATTTTGACGAAGAAGGAAACCTCATTTGTAGCTTTCCAGAATTTTCTTCTTACGTAAGAGCTGGTCAAGTATTACATAATCTTCGAAAATTTGAATTAACTTATTGGATTGAAATTGCGAGCAACAATGTTACCGAAGAAAAAATTTTAGGCTTACTCAATAAAGTTATAGATTCCTCAACGATTATTAGACAAATTTCGATTAATATGCCAAGTTTGCTTGAAACTCAACAAATAGTTCCACTACTATCTAAATTAATTAGTAGGCAACACAACCTTGAAACATTTGAATTCGATGGCCGGTGGGATTCCATCATTTCAAATACTTTGTGTTTATCAATTCATAGTCACCTAAAATATTTAAGAATCAATAATATAACCACGATTATAGAACTTCTTCCCATTCTCAACTCATGGACTCATCTTGACACATTGGTATTATGTAGACCACAAGTTATTGATGATTTTACAAAGATTAATGTGGACACTCTGCCTCCAATTTTTATTAGAAAATTGTTAATTTACGATGTTGGACCAGATCGAAAAATCTTGGATAACTTTGTAGGATTACTACTTCGATTAGCAAATCGTCATTTAAAAGTGTTTTCATTACAAGAATGTATAACACCTAAGCTTTGCAAAATACTTGTTGAATATTGTCGAAATCTAACTCATTTATCAACAATCATTAATACTATCGACCTCTCTTCGCTTTGCACTACACTTCGATATTTACCGAGTATTGAACATTTAGTAATAGTTCAGAGTAATAGTAATTCTCCACGACAACGTTCATGGATGATATCAAACAGTTGTGGTGTTAATAGACACTCATGGGAAACAAAGTCTCTTAAATGTCTTGCTAACTCATTCCCACCTTGCCTCAAATATTTAGGAATGTGCATAAATTTTTCGGTTACTCAACTCAAAATTCTTTTACAAAATATTGAGGCACCTATTTGTATAATGGAATTTTATAATGTCGGTGGTGATATGATGATGGATAAAACATTAGAGTTACATTTTCTAAGATTAATGGCGGAATATGCTGCAAGAAATCCAGGATTTTGTGTGCTTGGATTACCTGAAAGTCCAGAAGCTTGGTATGATGCTGATTTTTGGAAGATGGCAAAAGATTCTATTCCTGTTATTAAGAAGTCAGAACTTCTATATTATCCGGTTTTTAGTAAGTATTAATAAAATGTTTAAGTTGGAAGTCGAAAGTTAAAAAAAAAATTTATTTTTTTGAAAGCTTACTGACATTAATACGTATTCTATAGATGGAATGATTAATCCTGGACATCATTAAACGTATCCTTGAAAAAACGAAAATGCTTACGTCATAATTGATAAGAGAACATTTAGTACAACAGCATGAATATAAAATGATTATGTTGTATTTATTTGTAGTATTCATTGGCACATGTTTTTGATTTGATTTATATACTTTCAAAGTTGTCTTGCTTTAAAAAAAAATTTTGCATTGTTAAAAAAGTTTTTTTATTTAATAAAAAAGATACGAAAAAATCTATTTCTTTCTATTATTACGGTAATTGGATTAACAGTAACTATTGTATTTATGAAAGTTAAGCATTAGTTGGACCAGAATTTGCGCTTGCAATCAGAGATTTTGCATTTAAGGTAATTACATATTTTGCGATGATCGATCACTTCAGCTGAAAATGATCACGATCAGCATACTGCTGACTTTACTGGGGTATCAGTCTAAAGTAAAAGAACTTAACCAAATTTATCGTGCTCTTCAAATTACCGTGATTAGCAAATTTCAACACGCAAGAATTTGAAATTTTGGAATAACGTATGATAAATTACAAGCTTGTGATTGGCTAAAAATAATATTTGATTTTATTAAGTATTATATTATGCATATTATGCTGATACCGCAAGTTATTTGCTATGCCTTGATTAAAGATTTCTCAATAATAATCTAGTTAATTTCAACATTTAATATCATCTCGAATTCTACTAGTCTGTAGAATTGCAAATAGTTTAAATATTTAAAAAATAAACAAAACATTAAGTCACGCAATAAATATAATTGATTCTCATAACCTGATCATGTCATCATTCTACAGTGTACTAGAAACCATCTTTTTAAATATATACATATAATTTGTAATAGTTACTAACTAATGAATGACCTGTCGTGCTTAATATACTCATACGTGATTTTATTTATTCAAAGATAATCAATTAATATAGTTTCAGAGCATTTTAGATGACATGAATAATTAGTATATCTATAAAGTTTTCTTATAATAGAATAAAGAATTGCAAAAAACTAAGCTTGAGATTTTTATAATATACCTTTATTAAATACATAATTAATATATTATCTTTATTAAAAAAGATCATTTGAAAAATTTTAAAGTAAAAAGTAATATTATAATAGATATATTTAATTTTTTTTTACTTTATTCAAAAAATTTTACTTATTATTAATAATATATTAGCATGAATTTATATTAATAAAAATATTAAAAAAGAAAATTAATTGATATATTACTTTACAGAAATTTGCAAATTAGCAACTTTAGACTATTTTAAAATAATTATAAATTAGTTATATAGTTACTTTGTAGTAGTTATAGTTATGCATTTACTACAAGTTAGCAATATAACTGCTACTATTAATTACAATTTTACTAATACTTATTACTATTTTACAATATTTTTATTATATTTTATAAAAAAAATTATAATAAAGATATAATAAAATAATAGTAATTATCAATAAAATTTATATACAAAATATTGTTAAAGAATTTGTATACTAAAAATCTTTCAAAATAACTGTAATTGATATAAAATTATTTCAAAATAAAAATATTGCATAATATTACAAAATAATCAAAAAATTTTAAAAAATTTTACAATAAATTAAAATATAAATATTAATTCAAAACATATAAATATTTTTAAAATTATATCAAAATAAGTTAAATAATCTAAAATAATTAAGAAAATTAAATAATTTTGAAAATTTTTGAAAAGTTTCAAAATATATTAAAATATTTTGAAAATTTCAATAAATTTTAATATTAATAAATCTATTTTATATTATTTAAATATCTTAAAATTATTGCTATTTATATATTGTAATATATATTTAAAGTATTTATTTTATTTTATTATTTATTAAATAAATTTAAATATTTTCAATTTATTTTATTTTTATTTAATTGATTTAAAATATTAAATACAAATAATAAAAAAATTAAAAACAAAAAAAGAAGAAACTTTTGTATAAAAAAAATTATAAATAATAAGTAAAAATTTTAAAAATTTTAAAAAATTTTAAATAATCTATATTTTCTTAATAAAAAAAGTTATTGGTAAATAAAATAAAAAACAAAAAATATTTTAATTTAATATTAAATTTCTGTTTTTAGATTTATTTAAAATTTTATTAAAAAAAATATTATAAATAAAAAAAGTAAAAACAAAAAAGTTTTGAAATTCATTTTTAATATTTTAATTTTTATCAAATATATCTAGATTTAAATAGTAATAAATATAAGTAAAAAAATTCTAATAATATAAAATATTGTAAAAATAAATAAATATTAATAAATATCATAAATATAGATAATTTATTTAAAAATTATAATATTATTTATAATATTCTGTAAATAATAATTATTTATAAATAAAAATTTAAGAATTATATTTTTTTTTAGACTTTTTTTTATTTAATAAATAATTAATATTAAAAATAGTTTGTATTAAAGAAAAATGATGACTTAGTAAAGTAAATAAGTTTTTAACTCTTAAGTGATAGATTATAAGTTTAAAACTTATTGATAATAAAAATTTGAATAAATTTTTTTTTTTTGCTTTATTGTATTTTTAATTATGATTATATAACTTGTACAAGGTAAGTATACAACTAGCCACATATACAACTTTTGGTTGTTTAATTTAAATAGTCCGCCCGCATAGCAGGTTCTACACTAGCTGCCATACCTGCAATCTACTAGGAGATTACCTAATTTAAACACTCTGATTCCTATACTTACACCGACAAATAGCACACAAGTTCCTGTACATCTAAGTGCCGTCTAACCTAACCATAACCTTCTTATCTGTACATCTGTCAAGCCATTACATATTTCAGAGTATGTCACCTGACTGTAGGGCTCCAGAAGGCCTCCCTGCTAACTAACTACTCATGTTTAGTATCTTGTTAACAGGGCTCGCCCTTGCAGAGTTCACCTAGACCCTAGCACTGACTTCACAGCATATCTTTAGTACTTTAGTATACACCTGTTTCTGACCTCAGACTCCCAATCCAGATAGCCCGGTAGGATTGTGTCCTGTCTCTAGTACCCCAGGGTCTGCTCCTCAAGGTCCTTTTCCTCCAGTTCGAGTCTTTCGGCAGCCTGGTTGATGGTACCCCTCACTCGAGGTTCTTGCCCACCCAATTCTTTCCACATTGGTATCCGTTTTTTAGGTCTAGCTTTTACAGTAGTACTGTCGAAGATCTGTGTTACCTCTTTACTTGGGTCTTCCCAAGTGGGCTTCCAGTTATCCCAGTTCACAGATTTACATGGCCACAAATGCCCTATAACCTGCCAGTTATTTGGTATGACCGTGTTACAGGTACTGATCCCAACTGATCGATAGATAGCTGTTGCCATAGTACCGGTTTCAAGGACTTATCTTGTGTTTGCACCACCCGATGCCAGTTTGCATTCCTCTGTATAACTCCAACATTGCATAGATGCCTGTATACACCAGTGTAATATAGGTGGTTTTCCAAATTTTCGCCATCAGTGGGTTTTGAACTCCCAACCTACCATTTAAAGGGTTAACAACTTATCCACTTTACTAAGTTGCTACACCCTTAAAATTTGAATAATTACCTATATAATATATAGATGATATTATGACAATAATATTCTGTTAATCAGTTAAAATAAAATATCTATAATTATAATTGTATTAGTATAATTAGCAGATTATAAAATATCGATATAATTAGTTATATAAAGAAATTCAAACTAGTAATAAGTAATGCAAACTTAAAATAAGTTCTTATAGTTATATAAATCTGTAAAACTAAAAATCCAGAACCTATTTGAGAAAACCTAAATAGAGAGGTAGCATAGATTATTAATAGTACTACTGTAAAGTCTAGATCTAGAAAACAGATACTAATATAAAAAAATTAAACAAACAAAAACTTTAAATAAGAAGTATCATTAACTAGACTATTAGAAGTCTTGAACTAAAGAAAAAAAAAATATCAGATATCATAATTTTTAGTATATTAAAGACAAATTATGATTCTTCTGAACTATTTGAATTAAAAGTTTAATACCAAAAGCAAAGATATATTATAAGTATTAAAGATATGCTATAAAGTAAATACTAGAATCTGAATAAACTTTGCAAGTGCAAGCACTGTTAATAAGAACTAAATATAAGTAATTAGTTAGCAAGAGGGCTTTTTAGAATTCTATAGTTAAGTAATGTACTCTAAAATATATAACAACTTAATAAATATATAAATATAATAGTCAAAATTAGGTTAGATAACACTTAGATATACAGAAACTTGTATGATTATTTGTCAGATATAGTATAAAATTAGTATTTAATTAAATAATTTTTTAACAGATTACAAGTATAACAACTAATGTAGAACCTGTGAGCAAACTACTTAAATAGATAGCCAAAAGCTATATATATAGCTAGTTAGTTGTATATTTATTTTATACAAAAGGCCTTAGTGAAAGTAAAAAAAAAGTTTTGTATTACAAAAAAATACAAACTATTTTAGATTTCTACAAAATATTTTTATATTTATTATAACTTGACTTTGAATTCTAAATATATTTAAATAAAAAAAATAGAAAAAATTTAATAAATTAGTATTAGTTAAAAAAGTATTATTAAAAACTACAAAAATTAAAAAAAAATAAAAAATAAAAAGTAAAAAGAAATAACTATTTTAAAAAAAATATCCAAAATAGTTAACAAACACAAAAGACTAATAAATACAAAAACATTTAATATATCAAAAACAAATACCTATTACATAAAAACAAAGAAAACAACAAATCAATCTTCTAAGGACCTAGTTTCATTATAATAATTAAATAAATAACAGATAAATAATTATATTTCAATATATGCTTCTAACTCTAACTTAAATATTTATATTATAAACA